AAAATCCTGAGCTCTTTGAGATCTACACCCCAAAGCCCCAGGTGCAGAAAGTATTCTCACAGATTACTTCCCCCTGCAATACCTCAGACCTAGTAAAAGACCCAGGCCTGTCCTTCCTTTGTTCACCTCCCCTTTCCATACGTGTCAAATCCCATGGGGGCCTTTTCATAACACCGCACTGGCAAAGACTGGAGGAGGTCAGCCCAGCACGCAGTTGGAAGGCTGGCCAAGGAGAGGGCCTGGCGCATATCCTGCCTGCGGTGATTCCTGGACCGAAACCCACAGCATGTTATCACTGACCTCTCTCCGTATAGGTTTGTAGCTGTTGAAAAGAGGAACGTCCAAAGGCAAGCCGAGTCAAGAGATGAAGGCTCGGGACGTCCCCTTCAGTCTCCTACTGATCTGCTCGAGACCTACTTGGCCGGGAGAGTGCCAGCAACTTGGAACTGGATGCGAGACAGGAAAGTTTAATGGAAAAAATCCAAGGTTTTTACAGAGTTATGGCCAGAGACTCCATGCAATCCACACACAAAAAAAACACAGACAAAAGCCAGTGTCCGAGGAATCAAGGGCCAGTGGCAGGCATCCTAATTCTACTTCAAACCCGTTGAGGTTGGCACGGGCGACTAGTACCAAAGCCTCTGCTACTTAAGAAGCCCTTCCTGGGTGCTCTTAAAAACCTGGTGGCTGTACAGGTTCATTTTCAGGAAATAAAGATTCAGGACAGGTAAAACAGGCTGCACGCTTTCTGCTGGTTCGTCAGGCCTGGAGGAGAACGAGCCCCACCTTCTGTGGGCTTCTCTCAGAGCACTGAGCTTACTGCTCAGGCTTGGGCACATTTCGGAGGAGGGCGCACAAGGGGGCTGATGCGGGCGCCTGCAAAGCAAACTAAGGAGGTCTAAGAGGCCAGCTGACTGTAAATAGATATTATGCAAAGGCCTATTTTAAGAAATGGAAACAGCTAGGGCCGGCTGACTACTCAAACCAGGATGTCGGGGCAGAAGAGACCTGTCTTGCCCGAGCCTCTCAGAAGCGGCCACGTTTACACCCAGAGACTCCTCCAAGCCACTCCTGTACTTCAAACAGATGTCTGCCCACAAGACTCTCCGTGGGCAGATTTATAAACCTGACCTTAACTGGAAGAAGCCAATTCAACGTTGAGTCAGCTGTTCCCTTTTCAAGAGTCGAGGAAACCCCTGCTGAAACCCTGATCCGTCGTTTATCCCCCAGGTCGACAGCTTCTAAACAAAGATGGTAAGCTACTATTGAGAATGAAATTTTCTGTTTAGAAAAAGGGGCTGTGCCCTAAGTGAAGCGTACCTTCCACACTCAGAAAGCCTCCTGAAGGTTACACTTATATTTATTTATAGTATTTGTCGGCCACACTATCGACTGGCCTTGCCAGTGCCCTGGGCAGCTTCTAGCAGCAGAACAGGCACAAAGAAAACTTCTCTGTAATTAAGACAAAACAATTTGCAAGATTCCATCAGACTGCACTGTGGAAGACGTGTATGGCCCACCACACACAACCACGGAGGGTGACTGGGGATGATGGATGATGCAGTTGAACACCTCTAGAGGCATCAGGCTGGGGAAGGCAGTCACTGTTTGGGGAAGTGGCTCAATGACTTTGGGAACCATGGTTAATTGGAGACCTCGTATTTGGTCTAAGGGTTCAGATGTTCCGAATCCCTTAATTTTTGCACCAACTGAAGTAAGGTTCTGGAGAACTCGAGAAAATTTTGGGAACTCAGGCATCTGTCCACTCTTTTGGCATTACGAATGATCCTTTAAAAAAGGACTGAATGACTGTGGATTTTATAGCTATCTTCTGTTTTTATACAACCACCTCATTAACATTCATGTTTCTAGGAAAAGAGTATAATAAACCATTTGGGGAGGGCACTGCACTGAAGCCAAAAGCTGCCTAGCATTCAGAGTACAGTGGTGCCTCGCACAGCGAGGTTAATCCGTTCCGGATTAACCCTCGCTGTGTGAAAGCATCGTTGAACGGGGCAGGAAAAGCCATTGGAACGCATTAAACATGGTTTAATGCGTTCCAATTGGGCCGAATACTCACCGTTCAGCGATGCTTCCCTATGGCTGGCAGCCATTTTCGCACCCTCCCCTCGCTTTACGAGGGTGCGAAAACACTGCGCGTGGCCATTTTGGGGCTTCCGGCGGCCATTTTGTAGCCGCGGAACAGCTGATTGGCGGGTCACAAAGCGAAGGTCGGTAAGCGAACCGCTTACCGACCTTCGCTCTGCAATTTTCGCCCATTGGGGCCGTCGCTCTGCGATCGCATTAGCGATCGAAAAAACGTCCCCATAGAGCGAATTCATCGCTCTACGGGGCGCTCGTTGTGCGAGGCACCACTGTAGGTGACCTGGCCATCCTACCCACTCCCAAAGGGACACTGGGTGGAAGGGTGGGGTGCAAGGCCAGGAAGACATCTTCCTGAAGGAACATTCCTCTACTTCCATAGCAAAAGCTTCCCCCATTTGCACATGCAAGAAATAAATACTCTGTAACACCAGCATAAACTTTGTACAGAAACACCCATTCACACAACCCATTCTTTCAATCATGTTTCACTTCTGGTGTGATGGGCCCTCCTGCACCATAGGGGGCAGTCACACACATCCGATGACATGCTGGCCAAGAGGTCAATGGGAGCTGTCGACTCCAGTGGGAGAACTGGGGGAAGGAGAGGGAAGGGGGGAAACAAACCACCTCCTGAAATGGGTGTCAGCCGCACCTGAGGTTGGGAGAGGGAAAAGACACACTGCCGACTTTCTAGAAAATCTAGAAACCTACGAAACCACTCCCTCCATTATGTCCTTGTTGTTGTTTTTTTGGGAAAACAATGGAAATTTTCAGAGAGGGGGGAATTAAATAAATGCAATACTTATTGGCAATCAAACCTAAAATTATTTTACTGCGTTAGCAACGTGATGCATTTCGTTGGCAAATGGACTAACATATTAAATGTCACTACCTGGCATATGCACAAAATTTTTTAAAATACAATCTTCTTAGTGGGATGCGACATGCAAGCAAAAATTGTTAATACACCCTGGGCTGAAGAGAGAGGCAAACAGATACATCCTACGCCACCGAAGCAAAAGTGTCTTTGTTTCTTTTCCATTGATGTAACTCGGAGAAAATTAAAGAAGAAACCACAGATTGTATAATCCGCCAAACAAAGTCTATTATTTGGACAGAAACAACGCTGCGTTTACCGCAACGGTCTCTGTCATACCAGAAAGGTCACCAGAGAAAGACAAGCCACACTTAACAAGGAGCCTCGTCCTGCCACCATACCTTTCTCTCACGAAGAGGGCAGCACCCAAAATAGGCAGGAAAACGCCTTAGATCTGAACCCTATTTTATACCTTAAGTAGGAGCTTTAGACGCATAACTCACTCTCTCTCAAATCTTCATACTATTATGCATATCAATAGGTTCCTCATAGGTAGGACCTAGCATCTCGAGTAAAGAAACCCATGTTTCCGGAAACATCCTTAGCTCATCCACAAAAAAAAAAAATTGTCTGAATGTTTTTCTAGGCCCCCCCCCCCCCATTTCCAATTTTTCCACTGGGAAAACATAGTATTTATTGTTGGGAGGTAAGGCACATTTGTTCAGACATTTTCTGTTCTTTTCCCCAGTTCTTCATATCTGTTATCAGGGGACAGAGAGGGTTGCCTTAAAATCAATGACTTCTCCCCTGGTTATGACAGCAAGAGCTCTGTTGGTGAAGGGGGAGGGATGGCCAGTTTGGAGGAGGGATGCAAACTACATATAGCGGGACCGTAGCATCCGTGGGGGATCAGTCCAAGCCCCCCCCCCATGGAAGCCAAAAAAGGCTGAAGTTATTGGAAACTATATAAAGTACATGGCATGGTATCTGGTCCCCTCTAGTGGCCAGCTCTGGTAAATACACCCTGGAAGTACATATACTGTAAATACATATTTCTGGGTTTTTTATTTAGTATTTTCAGGCAGTGGATAAATGAATCAGGGGATACTGATCTCACGGACAGGGTGTGTGTGTGTCCTGCCGTACTAACAATGGCATAGTTTACAACAAGAACTGCCCCCCCATCCTGACTAAAATATGGACTCTTAAGCTTCAACTCCGATATTAGGAAAAAGGTGTGGTCACGAGGCTGGGCAAGGATTCTTTTCTTCAGGTGGAGAAAAGGCACGGACATTCAGGCTTGCAACTCTCAAGCAGAGAGTTGCAAGCCTTCCAGGACACCTGCTTGTTCCGTGCAGAAAGCCAGTTGCGTGGACTGCTGGTCCTGTCCAATGGCAAGGGCCAGCCAGAAAAAAATGGCATCCAAGTTCTGGGCAAGAGGAACGTCATGAATACCAGTTCTGACCCCACAAACCGGGGGCCGTCAGGCCGTGAGCCCACGAAGCAAAGGGGGAGGGAAGCAGACGGAATCAAAGAACGGCCCAGATCAGCTCTCATCAAGTGAATCTTGCAGGTGAGGTAAGCCTAAGGGTCCCATTTCTGAGCTCCTGGGTCCAGCTACGAAATCTGAACATTGCTGCTTCACATGCTGAAATGAGGCAAAACAGCCCACCTTTCAAAATGTCGTCTCATCTTATGAATCACACAGATGAAGGAAGGAAGGAAGGAAGGAAGGAAGGAAGGAAGGAAGGAAGGAAGGAAGGATGGATGGATGGATGGATGGATGGATGGATGGATGGATGGATGGATGGATGGATGGATGGATGGATGGATGGATGGATGGATGGATGGAAGGAAGGAAGGAAGGAAGGGAAGGATGGATGGATGGATGGATGGATGGATGGATAACTGACTGACTGACTGACTGACTGACTGACTGACTGACTGACTGACTGGATGGATGGATGGATGGATGGATGGATGGAAGAAACCTCATTGATGTCAGTGCTATCAGCAATTCAGAAATCATTATTTAACAAGGAAGCCCCAGGAGATATCTCAATTACTCTGCTATTACCTATAGACGGTGACTTGAAGGGGTATTTGTCTGGAAGGTCCACTCTAACTTTCCATACGCCACCTTCGTACGGTGCTGCAAAAGGAAGAGAAAGCAATGCATTGGTTGTGGAGTTCTGCAACAAAGACAGACGTGTACATAGTTTAAACGGCACAACTCCACTGAGGAGGTTTCCTAAGCAAGTCCCATTAGAACAGCAACAGAGCCATTTCGCTGCACTGTGTCCCGATGGACCGATGAACAGAGAAGCCCCATGAGAGAAGGGTCTGTGCTCTTAGATTCTGAGACTGCCTTATATCTGAAGACCACTTTTCCTGGAATGGCAGGTGAGCCCCTTTCCAAGGACAGCTGGCACCCAGCATTCAAGACCTTTCTTTTCAGTGTGTGTGTGTGTGGGGGGGGGGGAAGGCAACTGTAATAAAGTCTGCTGCAGGAAAAAAAAAACAAGCACTCACTTAGCACCAAATTGTATTTGGCACAAAGCGTTGCAGATTGCAGCCAATTAAAAATAAATCAATCACTTTTTCACCATAATTTTTTTTAGCTTCTTGTTTTTATCCTACATCTGCAACTCAAACAACTAAAGAAGAAAACCTTCTATTGAAGGGGACCAGAATTCAATGCCCAAGATGAATCCAAGATGCATAGAAAATGGAGTTGAGATTCACTCCCAATATTGTTTTTCTTCCGGGCATGCACCTGTTCCCAAATCATTTCTTTTTCAGGATGTTAACTTAAAAATCTAAGATATTTATCACTTTACACGGTGGTAGCTGAGGACCTTTAGCATTTTTGGTGTTGTTCTCTGAAGTCAAACATGCTAGAAAAATCCAATTTGTCTTTTTTTAAAAAAAATGTATTTCTCATACGTGTAATGTTGCATTTGGGTGTCCCAAAGCTTCCGTGGGAAGGTGAAAAATTGACTCTGACTTGTATCACATCAGGACTGACCCACAGAAAGGTCACGTTTAACTGCGGGTGACCTAGTGCCCCCGTTTCCGCCAGGTGAGACAGCAGCTGTATGGATTTTGTACCTCCTGAAGGCCGCTCAAAACGTCTTCGCCTACAGTTTCTCTCCCCCCACCCCAACCTTTTAAAAAAAAGAACAGGAACTGATCTCAGCGATGAAAGAGAACGAGTTCTCCATTCACCGAAGAAGCTGAGCAAACTAACAAGGAGGAACCCGGGTGTTTTGTTTCTCCTTGGTCTGCTTTTCCTTAACAAAAGGGACTCCTCTAATGAGTAAAAACCAAGCAAAGAAAAACGGCTATGGGCTAATAATTCTCTGGAAGAGCGAACAAACGGGGCTGTACTGGAATGAAGCATTCTTCCAGCACCAGAAAGGAGGAATCCCTCTCCAGTTTTGTCCTTTAAAAAAAATGGATTCAATAAGATCCTGAGTGTTTGGGTTTTGCTCTTTAACCCACATTTGCAACAGGCCCACCAAAGGGACATCAAAAGAGCATGAAGCATCTTTCCAGGCCACGGCCCTGCTGAGCAGAATGTTTTGTTCTGCAGGTCAGGCTGACACCCAACACCATTGGCATGCACAGCTGGACCCCAGTATCTGCAAGGGAACGGTTCCAAGCTTCCCCGTGGATGCTGAAAAACACAGGATGCTTATTTTAATCGCAAAGGCTCTCTCTATTGGCCAGTTCTGGTAACCTCCTCATTGAAATATATATCTATAGTGGGATTCTCCTTTTAACGCTTTTAATATTTTCAGACTGTGGATAATCAATGGATACTGATCCCACGGATAAAGGGGTCCTTCTGTACCAAATCCTTCTCCCAAAAAAAAAAGAAAAAAAGAAAAAAGAAGAAAAAAGAAGAAAAAAAGACACAAAAGAACTATCAGGAAGGGAAGTGGTACAACACCAATTGGAGCCCCCAATTTTGGAAAAGTTAGTTTTTGAAGACTATAATTCCCAGAACAACCCATCTAGTCTCAAGCTTCAGTCCAAAACAACCTAACTTTGTTGTTGTTTATTCATTAAGTCGTGTCTGACTCTTTGTGACCCCATAGACCAGAGCACGCCAGGTCCTCCTGCCTTCCACTGCCTCCCGGAGTTGGGTCAAAGTCATGTTGGTCGCTCCACCAACTTTACCAACCTAACTTTACCAAGCTGTAAACCAATGGTGTCCATAAAAGTCAGCTATATGTTTCACAAGAGATGCAAAACCAGAAGTCATTATTCCCCATACCACTGACAGATTTTTTAAAAAGGATCACATTATATAAAACATCTGTTAAGCCATAGCTATGTACGTACTGCGAGGGACACAGCATTCTTGTATACTTACTTCCTTGTGGTCCATAGAACTTTACTACGAATTCGTTGAGTCCACCTAGAATTGTAACTTCGTGTTTGCTTTCAATACTAAAAGCACTGAAGTAAAGGAAATGTTTTTTATGCGCAGAAGCCTTAATGAACCTGTCACTTGAGCACCCTGGCATCCCAGGAACAGGTTAACAGCTTAAATTGCTGGAATACTTCACAAGCAAATCTGAATTAATCCTCCAGCCAATAAAGGCCATTCAAAGCGTATTTGAGCTTGTGCCCAATGCTTTAAGCACACCAAACAGTCTACCGGATAAACAGATGAAAGATAATTAACACGTTTCATGATATAAACACTTCCAACCTCTGGTTCCTGACTGCAATGTTTATGGTACCCCTTCTGTAAGAATGTGGCACTTTACAGATAAAAAGATCATAGGTCCCTGCCCCAGGGAGTTTACAGTCTAAAATCTGCAACAGACGAAAGTACAGGAGGTGGAGACTGGACAGAGAAAAGAAGAAAGGGCATTAAGTTTAATTACATGGGCTTAGTTGCAGGAGGACACAGAGAGAACACATTTGTGGACTGGCTAAACTAAGTATATTTATTTCTCATTTTAAAAAAAGGCCCTCTCCTTTTTAAAAAGGGCCTCAAGGCAGCTTATCTAATTAAAAACACAATACTAAAAGTTTAAAAAAAGGAAATTATTTAAAATGAATTAAATAAACATTATATTAAAAATGTTAGGTAAAAGCATTACTAGAACAGACTTTAAAAGTGACAAAAAACCCAAGCCACCCCATTTTAAAACTGCTCTCAGTAGAGCCAGTCAGAGAGAGAAAGCTTGCCTGAAGATCTCGACCTTCTTGCGGAAGGACAGCCAAGACGGGCCCAGTCTGGCCTCCAGTGGGAGTGAGTTCCAGAGGCTAAAGGAGCAGCCACAGAGAAGGCCCTCTCCTATGTCCCCACCAAAATGCACCTGCGAAGGTGGAGGGACCGAGAGAAAGGTCTCTCCTGATGATCTTAACACCTGAGTAGGCTTATAAAGGGAGAGACAGTCCCTAAAAATAACATGAACCCGTTTAGGGCTTTATAGGTTCGAACCAACACTTCCAGTTGTGCCTAGGAACAGATTGGCAGCCGGTGGAGCTGCTGTTAACAGAGGGATTATGTGATCCTTCTCAGAAGTTTACTAGCTTACAATAGTTGGCATTACTCTGCATGCCTAAATATGCATAAATTATCTGCTTACATTGAACAGGGAAAGAATAAGATTTTGTGACGTTTCCCTATGTGGTCTTTTACTCCTACACCAACCTTGGGGTATTTGCAATCCTTATACAAAGCTATACATACACATGCACATGCACATGCACATGCACACACACACACTGCTAGCTACTGGAGCACACCAAAGAATTTCAGAAGATCAGTCTAGGCTTTATAGATTACACCAACCCCTTTAACTGTGAAGAACATCATGAGAAGCTATGCTTTGCCACTTGATGGTCCTGACGTGTTATGGTGGACAAGAAGCCACCGTTAGGACAGACGATGGAGAGACACAATGGTTTCCTCTAGCCCACTGCTGCCCCACCTGGGGGGTTGTGACCCCCAAGGAGGTCACAGAGGGTTTTTTGGGGGGGGAGTTTGCTGTGGTTCTTTTTAGTTGCAATTATTTTTGGATTTATCATATCAACAATGGTCCACATGATGGAGTTTTATTTTAATCTTCCTGCCCCACTCGGGCAACCTAGAGTTCTGAGTTCTTTCAGGACCCCTCCGGGGAGGTTTCCCTCTTCGGCACGCACATGGCTTCTGCCCCCTTCGAATGAGCCACCCCTTGCTTGTTTCTCTCGGCTGCTCCTCCACCTTCACCTCCGGGGGGGGGGAACACTGAAGTCCGTCCTTCAGACGCGAGCGTTAGCCCAGCTCAAAAAGGCTGGAATGGGGCAAGCGCATAGCGCACACCACGAACACCGATGCCCGAGACGGTGGCAGAACCAAAAGGTTCTTGCTGCGGCAGGACGCCCCTCTCGCTCTGACGCCGTCTCCCACGCTTCCAAGCGTGGCAATGGTGGCAGGGGGGAGCAAGGGGGGACCCGGGCGGGGAGATGCTTCTGGGCCCCACCTGAGTCATTGGGTGGGGAACGTGAGTGAGGAACGACCAGAAGGGCCCCATGGAGAGAGGGGAGATTAAATAAAAACATGTTTATTTGGGCTCAAGGGGGAGTCTTCACCGAGCAGGATTTTTTTTTTGGGGGGGGGAGGAGACATGAATAGGGTTGTTTCCACCCCACGAAGAAGTAAATTAAACTCAAAGTGTACTGACATCTGTCTTCCTTCTCAGATTTTATCTGGTAGAGGCAGATTTCCAGCCTTTCATAATGAAGTATTATTATATTAATGTTTACTTATTTATTTAAAACGTTCTTACCCCATTTTTCTCTTTTAAAAAAAGTCCCAAGGTGGCTTACCTCATTAAAAGACAATATTTAAAACTGAAAGCAATGGGTATAAAGAGGGAGCTTACCTCATTAAAGGGCAATATGGAAGCCGGAACAGTGAAGTCTGCAAATATTATGGAGGAATAAACAAGTACTGCACAAATAGTACTAAAGCACTAAAGCACTAAAGCACTAAATAAATAAATAAATAATGGGAATCACTGCTTTAGGCAAAGGGCTCCGACAAAGGTGCATTTTATCACCCCCATACCTGTTTAATCTGTATGCAGAACATATAATATGGAAAAGCCAGATTAGACTGAGATAAAGGAGTGAAAATTCTTGGAAGAAGCATCAGTAATTTGAGATATACAGATGGCACCATCTTACTGGCATTAAGGAGCAACGACCTGAGATGACTTCTGATGAATGGGAACGAAAGGAGAATGCAGCAAAGCAGGACTGCAGTTGAACACTAAGACAACCAGAATCATGACTGCAGAAGAAATACTTCAATGCTGACAAACGACGAAACTGAAAGAGTTAAAAAAGATTTTGTCTACCTTGGTTCAGTCCTCATCTAAAGGGAGACTGCAGCCAAGAAATCAGAAGAAGGCTGAGGCTTGGAAGGGCAGCCATGAAGGAACTAGAAAAGACCATCAAGTGTCGGGAGGTGTCCCTGGAGACTAAGAGCGAGATCACCCATGTTCTTGTCTTTCTGATCACTATGTGAGGGGTGTGAAAGCAAAGAAAGCTGAGCAGAGATAGGAAGTCAGTTGAAATTAAAAGTTAGACATTTCAAAACTGATTCAAAGAGGCACCGACACTAAGAATGTGCCAGTCTTTTGTTTGCTTGCTTGCTTGTTTTTACACCAGCTCTCAGAATTTTTCCAGAATTCCCTAGACAAACTAACAAACGACACATCTCTAACTGACATCACCTCCTGTAAGAGGCATGCTGGTTCTCGGGAGTCTGCACTCTCCAGATGCATATGACCCTGGCTGTTACAGATCTGCAGTCCATATGGAAAGTGCCTGGTTAGCAAAACGCTGTTCTTAAAAGTATGATATTTAACAACTTGTGCAATTAGGTTTTACCCCTGACATGCTTCTCTCTTTTTCTTCTTTCTCACCCACCAACACATATGCTGTTCATTCCCTCTCCAAATACCACAGATTGTCAGCACAAATCTTGAAGGAAAAAAACTTGCCAAAATGCAGCTAAAATATCTCAGAATGCCTCTGAAAAAATAACTTTAGAAATAACTAGAATATGTTTCTCATTACATCAGAAGTGCTAAAGCCATTACCACTTATCGCGTTACAGTGGTGCCCCCCTAGACGATGACCACGCAAAACGACGAATCCGCATGACAATGACTTTTTGTGGTCGCCATTGCGCTTCGCAAAACAGTCTTTCGTATCGCCGATTTTCGCTGGACAATGTTTTGGCCCATGCTTTGCAAGACCTTTTTTTTTGGGACCGATGCTTCGCAAGACGACGATTTTTACAGCTGATCGGCGGCTTTGCAAAATGGCTTCCCTATGGATGATCTTCGCAAAACGGGTGTTTTCGGGACCTATGCTTCGCAAGACAGCGATTTTTACAGCTGATCGGCGCTTCGCAAAATGGCTTCCGTATGGACGATTTTTGCAAAACGAGGACTATTTTCCCCATTGGAATGCATTAAACAGATTTCAATGCATTCCAATGGGGAAACGCTTTCCACAAGACGATGTTTTCTCTAAACAGTGATTTCAATGGAACAGATTAACATTGTCTTGCAGGGCGCCACTGTATTTCCAAATCCAATTCAATGAGAGCGTCATTGTTGTTCGCTAGCTCTAACCACTTGCCATCACTGGTTCCCACTCAGCTAGCAAAGCTAAATGGAAGAACTTGACTAAGGAAGACCTCCAGGCAACTCAAAAGAAAGATCTGCACATCAAGGTAAATGCCACATTCCTTGAACGAATGCCAGAAGGTGTGGGATGGGTTTCCGATCAAAACATTACCACCTTCTTCTAGAAGGTTCAGAACTTTGCATGGGGCAAGCGCAGCATCCATATATATCTAGGACTATAAAAGCTGCCATGAGGACTAGTAACTAACTACTCGTGCACGTGCCAAAGCAGGCAAGCATTAAGCTGCCATTATACTGCTGCAGTTGAAACCGACTAGGGTGCAAAACCTCTTCCCCTCTACCTGTAATCTGCATATCTGGGGAGGGAGTACGGTATTGCCCTTCGTGACGGCACAGAGGCTACACAGAAGTACATCTTCCGGAGCAGACTGGTTCTGATGACCAAGGAATTCTGGGTGCTTGGTCCAGAAAAGTAACTTCTCCAAAGCCTAGGTCTTACTGATCAGCTCTGATCATGGGATGCCCTGGCAACCCCCTCAGAGGGATTTCTCCATAAGGCTCAGGACAGAACTCAAGATACTACTGTAGGTCACCACTTATAAAACCTAGCTGCCAGCACAGGATTCGTTGTATTATACCTACTTTCTCCCATGCTGGAAGCAGCAACGCATGTCCCACCTTCTTCCCTCTCAATGAGGGGCAGGAACGACCTTCTTTGCTCACCTGCCCAACCTGGAAAGGGAGGCGCCTTTTAGATCGACCACAGGGGATGGTGCCAAAATCAAAACCTATACCCTGAGGACCGTGTAAAGTCTGTTTTCACTGGAAGACAGTGCACGGTTTCTGCCAAATGGTTTTTTTTTCCCAAACACAAGAAC